GTGCCCAGAGAGGCGCCTTTAAATAAAATGTATTATTATTATTATTATTATTATTATTATTATTATCATTATTATTATTATTATTATTATTATTTCCGTAACGGTATTTGCAAATCAGCCCCTGAATAGTTTTGGACGTATCAGCCCCTAGGTGCTTTACTGAAATGTGTCACAACCTGTACAAAAAAAGAGTTGTGATGGATGTAGCTTAAATTTCAAACTCTCTAAGTGTTACAAGGCCTTAGTTCACTATTAAGAACTGCTCCGCTTTCCCTGAGGACTGCTACAGTACACTTCAGAACAAAGGGAAATAAATGGCTCTAACCCGTAAGATGGTGTGTGCATGTGTGTGTGTGTACTCGCAGTAAAATACATCTAAACCAGACTTCCAAATATAACTTCAAACAGCTCCGTGTCAATGTTTGTTCACCTCGCTGTCTCTCATTCCCAAAAGACAGAGCGCTTCCAGTATACAGTCTCACTTAAACAACTATGTTTACTTCCATGCCAGACAACTGACAGATGTTTGATCAAGGAAAAAAAAACACACACACTTAAATAAACTAAAGTATCTTTTTCCATGTTACCACTTTGGAATCCTTTCAAAATATTAGTATACAAAGACAAGATTTATAAAACCCAAACATAAACAGGTCAGACATTCGCCAGCTGTAATGGAAACAGTTTCTTTTTTCCGAGTTTGAAGCACAATGACAACTTGGTTTGCACATAAAATATGGAAGCTGTATCTTTATGAACTTGCTGTTCATGTTGCCTTGCCTATACAGTACTGTAATTCACCCCATCTTTATATCAGGAAAAACATCTCAGCATCAGCACATATATTAGATTTACGATCAGTTGTCACGGTAACAGCTTACACTTGGTTTTGAATCTCTACCCTCCCGATTATGACGCCATTTACTTAGCCTACTAAACAAAAAATGTCAACATGATTCATTAGATGTATTTCAGTTTTCTTGTGTCTCTCAGTGTTTTGTTTTCTTACTTTTCTTTGTCTTGCTCGTCTTTATTCATTTGTCTTTCAGCACTCTACCTGTCACAGACATGACTAATTAATATTCTGCATTCTAGATTAAAAACAAACCATAAAAAAATAATGGACTGTCTTCAAACAGGTCCACATGAAACTGAACATCTCGTTCCGCAGCGATAAAACTTTGATGAGACCTTTTTAGATTGATACATGAGATTCCTAAGGCGGTACAACTGTAATCACAGCATGTGGCCAGAAAAACAGTATTGAACCTCATGTACTGGATAACTCTGACTGGAATGGTGAATGGCTGTTGCAGTTAGAAAAATTCACGCTCAGTGAATCATTCTTATTCTTATTTTATTATTTGTAAAAGCACACATATAGAAAAGGCCTTCAGTTCCCTTCAGTTTCCCTCCTTTCATTTTCATCTTGATTGTAGATGTAGTGACTGAATGAATGTTTTTATTTTCAGTAGATAGATACACATACAGCTTAAGAGCTTTGTGTGTGTACTGTAAAACTATAAAACGCGTGTGTGCGTGTGTGTGGTTTCCTCTGACTCACCGTCCAGCCTCCTCCATCTGTGGTCATGTCACAGTAGACCTGGAAGCCTGCGGGGTGGTGAACAGGAAACACAGAATAGATGCCATCCTCTCGCTGTCCACTGGCGTACAGATCACCGCAGTCACGAGGACGTGAGCCTAGGGAGAGGTGAAAGTAGGGAGACATGAAATAAATTAGGTCCAATATGGCTTGCAAAGGGGAAGAATGCTTGGAGCAGGAAAGTGGAATCAGTAATAAAGAGAAGATGAGGAAAACACAAGATAACACTTGTCACACTCTGTCTACAGCCAGGCACTAGAGAGGCACATAAGTACAGTAAACATGAAGGAACAGTTCTGTTTCTATGTTGTAAGGTTATCATGTCCAAATGAAATCTCAAAGTGTTAGTTTACCCAGTTTTCTTAACTATTTTCCAAAAGGATGGCTCTTGAAAAAGATAGAAAGAGCAATGAAGAGTATAGCTTTGTCGAGAGGGAAGACACAACAAAAGATAGATGATGAGATGGATGGGCGGGTGACAGATGACACAGCGGGACAAGGTAGTCTAAGTGCAGCGAAGATACAAAAAGTAAAAAAGGCAAAATACAAGTAGGTCGAAATGAAGACAGAAAGGCGCAAGGGTGGAGCGCTGACATGATGCCACAGAGAAGAAGCAGATATACAGCACAGAGACGTAGTAGGAAAAAGGAGAAAGCAAAAAGTTAAAGGGGAAGAAATATGGCTCAGTGATGAGTTGTATAAATTTGAGTGATACAACAACACAGATAAAGAGACATAAAGAGTAGAGAGCCCATATAACAAGACAGACAGAGAGAGAATTCAGGAAAAGTTAGTGTGAAGAAGAAGAGAAAGAGACAGAGAGCTTGTAAGCTACAGCAGAGCAGAACAGTGGCACCCTTGTCTGTGACTGAGAAACCCGTCTTACACAAGGGATACAAAATCTATTCCCCAGGAAGCAGGAGAGGAACTCTGTGATGAGGACAATGTCATAGATTATGCATGTCAGCCTCCACCGGGTCAAAACCCCTGAATTTAAAACAGGCTAGAGAGTTCTTGAAAAGGCCATTCAAGATTTTTTTACAGTCCCTACACGATATGGAATGTTTGATCTCCCCAAAGCTTTTCCGTTTCTCCTTGTAAGCCTCGACTACTAAGCTATGACTTTCATCATCCTCACACATAAATGGTAGCATTTCCCAGCTCTTCTTTTCATTACAGGAAACCGAAGCTGTCTAAGTTCCATGGGACATTATAAAAAGAGACCATCATTATTATTTAAGAATTTGGTCATCTATAACAAGGGCTTTCAAAGTTTTCAGTTTAATGATCCCTTACAGCAGAGAAATTGTTCTTCCAAGGACCTCCTCTCATGATCGCACTAATACCTAAGGTCCACTTTAACTTGGCTTGTGTTAGGGCTTTGTTTGCACACAATTTACCAGAGATTGAGATTTTTGGTCCTAATTGGTACACATTTTTTTTCACATACCAAACCTTTCCATTTCATCGAGCCATTGACTGTAATGTTTAGTGCATCACGAAAAAATTGCTATCTGATTGCTACAACATGTAACCTAGCTATCTGATTATATTATGTGTCACAAAAAGGCCTGTCATGTCTAAAAAAAAAGGTCTTAATTACTTGCATCATTTTTGTTGTCACTGTGCGAGTCATTAATTCTTCCTGTCATTTCAGAGCCTGCAATTCCCTCCCTGCTCTGCAGTAGGTATTAGTTCTCCGAGTCATAAGTGTTTGCAGCCTTCAGTCATCACCCGATTCTCACACTCACCAGGGCACCCGTTCCCAATCCCCTAATCAGCTCTCCAACATATATACCAGCCACTTTCCCACAGTTTCCTGCCAGATTGTCTGTTGTGCATTGTTATCTCTTTCTGGATTCATTATATGAATAGTGACATTCAATCCACATGCCTTTGCATTTTCACCTAGGTATTAATAAGTATTATGATTATCTAATATTTTCTGCCCATTTTGTAATCTAATCAGTATGTAAATTAGTTAGACAGGGCTAGTGGACAAACATGGCGTGTCCCAAGTCAATGGAAGCGATGCCATGGATGAGTGTCATTAAGTTTAAAATCACGTTGTGATTCACAATTAAAAAAGGAGCCAGACCACTTTCAGCTGTGGTCTGGAGAATTTGATGTGTTCTGTGTGCATATACACCTAGTTTTAACATTTTTACTTTTTCAGATAGGCTATTTGGGAGATTGCAAATTCCTTTCCAAGTTTTTGCCTGCCTACCTGGCCCCTCTTGCTTTGTTTGCCTGTTTCGACTAATCAATTATTGACCAACCCTGCTTTGAATTACTGACCAGGTAAACTGCTGCCTGCTTCAGAGCCCTGTCTTTCAATTCATCTGCAACAATAAACCTTTACATTCCCACCTGTAGATAGGCACTTATGACAGTGCTATTGCTTAATACTTTCCTTGGCTGTGTGTCCACAGATCCCAATTTTAAAATCACAGCTCTTTTATAATCTTAGCACTTAACACACTCTGGAGTTCTCTATAATTCTAAAATACTTCAAGGATGAGGTTGGTGATATTCTTAATGTGAAAAGACCAAAGCCAACAATGGGTCTGTCTCTCAATACTTAGTTCAATACTACTGAACTTTCAGATTCCTACTGTAATGTATTTTATAAAAAAGCTAAATAACTTCCAAAAAAACATCCAGAAACATTAATTGTTTTCAGCAAACATGACTCAGACAGGAGTATAATAGTGCATTTGTTGGTTGTGAATTTGGTGCATTATAGAGCATTTATGGCAATAGGATGTGGGATTGACGCAAAAGAATGCAAGTGTTTATTTGAATAAAGAAACATGTCACCTAATACGATGGTGTGGCTCGTTGATATGTTTTTAATAACAACAATGGAGAATATTTGTACAATGGAGATCTACGGCACAGAGAAATAAGCTACAGTATATAAGGCTTCTCAGCGAGGTAACCAAATTCTTTCCCTGTTTCCGGACTTCTGCTGTGTACAGCATAAATCAGATCTCGGTTGCTCACAGAATGATGGAAAAAGGCCAATTGTTGGCTGACTCATTTATTAAAATGACAATAGTTTGTTTGGCTGCACTGTAAACTAATACACCAGTTGCTCTTATGTGTCGTAATATGTCGTTACAACTAAGAATTACTTGCTGTTACCACCATTACAACTTTAAAGTAGACATGGCTTGGTTGGGTGTGTCAATATTGGTGCGTGTGTTAGCGTTGAAATGATGACTATAAAGGAGAGTTTCTCTTCTGAATCCCATTTCTTTTGTGACAAAATCCTTAGTCGCATAAACCCTTCAAAGTAAGTCACTCTGACAACGCAGGCTCTTCACAGTAGGAGCTGGGCTAATTTAAATGCACCTTGTCCACTGTTTTCCAGCTAACACTGCTCATCTAGTGGCAAGAGTTATAGTTATTTCCAACCATGCACAAATCCTACATCTAACTTTTTTATTCATGTTTTGGCCTTCTCTCTATTGTTTGTAGTCCTCATAAAACTGAATAATTAATATGGCAGAAAACATAACAATGGTAAAAAAATCTACCAAATGTCAAGCCAATGCTTGCATGCTTACTGCTCACTAAAGAAAAAATTCACTTGTAAATCATTTGAGCTGTAAAGCCACTGTGCATCAGTACAGCAATGTCAGGTTGTCCAATAACTGAAAAGTGGGGCTTCTACAGTGGTTTCATCCAATTCAGAAAGCCTGCTACTGTCAGAGCTGAGAAGGGCTTCACTCTGCCAGGTTTGGATTCATATAACTTTGAAAATCTAATGTGTTCTTATGGGAATCCAATGCAAACAGTGCAGAGATGAATACTTCAAATATTCATAGGCGCAGTGGGACAGACACACAGTCAAATATATTCTTGGTTTTGCCCCTTAAACACATATGCATACAGCTATACAAACATATTGAAATTGTGCTGTAACACAACACAGTTTACAGTTTTTTGTTTATTCATTTATTTTGATGTAGTGTTACCAATTAATTAGATTAATTAAATAGTCAGTAACTTGTACACTCACCCTATGTCAGAGTTAACATTGAATTACAAATGGATACATATGTGTTAGTGATATGACATTACATGTATCATATTATCTTGTGATGCAGATATCTTCACACCAAAATGCTAATAAGAGCTGCAATTATTTTCTAAACAAAAATACCAATTGCCAAAAGCAAGTTAACCCACACAAGCATGCTGAAATAATAAAAACAAGGATATATTGCATAATAAATATACTGGGCATTTAGAGAAGATATCTTATGTGATAAGCACTGATGTTTTTGTAGCTGTTCTCTTCTTCAGTGTAGATGCCTTTGATAAAATGTCAAGGCTGTGCTCCACAAAAACACTGACTTGCCGCTGGCTGCTTTGTTGTAGTTTGTCCTGACCATAGCTCTGAGGAGCAAAAGGAGTATAATCCTAGATAGAACAAATTTCAAGGAGAATTTGGTGGTGATACATGTACACACAACATTCACTGTAGCTAATCCTAAACATACTGTGCAGTTTTGAGTGTGCGTATTGCTATTATAATAGTATACTGTATCTATATACAGAGACAGAGACCATGTTTAAAAGTGCTTTCAAAGAATCCTACATAGCAAACCTTGGGCAGGAAATATGTGAATCTCTGTCCATGGTGCTGAACCTTGGCGCTGGCTGGTCAATTATTCTGAATGTTATACAGCTTTACCCCTGACATTTAGATAGCTTTAGGATATCTATATCTAAATAGGTCAATCTGAAGCACTTTGTGGATATTTACATGAAACATACCAGAAGATCAATTATAAATCAAATAACAGAAGAGAATTCCCTGAAACCTTAGTGCATTACAGCAAAAGTTATTACAGCGTAACTGGGAACCAAGATTTATTTTAATTAGTTAACTCTTGGCACTATAAGGCAAAAGCTACAAACTGAGCCACAAAGGGGAGATTGTCTGTTTTATTGCAAAAATTTGGGATTCTAATATTAGTCTGGTATTTCCTCCTTCCCTGCTGTATAGAGGCCAGGACAGTATAATGACATGTCAGTTCAGGTATTGTAGCTGTGAGGACAAGAGTGGGCAGAACTGCTGCAGTTTTAAGAATATTAAAACAAATATATATGAGCCAAAATAAAGGCCTTGAATGCTTGACAGATTCCTCTCAACCTGGAAAGGAAGAAAACCAAATGATGATTTGTTTCAAACTAAAGGTTGTCTTCCCTTGCATACAATATGCAGACAGACTTGTGTAATTCTCTTCAATGCTCACATTAAATGATGAATAAAGTCAATAAGAATACATTTATTATCTCGTAAAAATAAGTACTGTCACTGAATATGCTTTGTACAATGGCTAATGAAAAGGTTTTCATATTTCCGTAACCCCTTATTCCCCAAAAAACAAAAATCTTTTTTATCTTGCATTTTCATTTTGTTTGAAACATTAGGGGTAAAACTTACTGGTATCTGATCAGTCTGAGTAAACAAATAGGAGTTATTGCCCATATAAAGTCGCTGCAAAAGGGATAACTGCTGATGGAGGATAAATATTAATAATCAGTAATCCCTGACAGACAGCTGACTGAACTGGACACCTGTTTCCAGGAGGCCCGGTATGGAATAATGAGAACAGGAGCAGCCTATGAGCCATACTCCCGCAGCCACAGACTTGATGTAATCATCATTACAACCTTGTAATGGATGCTGACTTCACCATGTTATACAGGATTTGATTTTGAAAAGACACAGAGCTCATACATAATCATCCCTTATTATGGACACTTTGTCGGACATTTCACTTAATAAACATAATAACCCAAACACGCGTATAATTTCATACAATGCAAAACAATAGCCCCGCAATAAATATTTCTTTGTAATATTAATTTTCTCTTTTTTAGAACCGTGATGTTACTTCACCATTCATTGCATCATATTGTGAGGTGCTCTTGTAATTGTGTTCTCTCAACACAATGTGCATACATGGGGGAAAAGCTATGCAGCTCATAAATTGACTAATGATTTCCTTAGCAATGGGGAACAATATTGTTTCTGTCTCTGTCGCTGCTACCGTTAATAAAGAGCCAGGAGACAACAAATTAAAATAAAGCTTGAAGAAATTATTCTATAATTGAGCTATAATACCTACTGTGAGATAACAATTCTGCTAAGATCTAAAGGAAAATTCAATCAATTGATTTATAATTCATTGCCAGCATTCTGGTGTGTTTCAAGTTACTGTTTACTGATTGCTTCAGATAATCTGGTTAAGGAAAGAACATTCTGGAAAGTTGTTTCAAGCATAAAACTCGGAAACGGATGACAGACTCACCAGTGCAAATGTTCAGCACCATGGACAGCACTTCAACCAGTCTATAGGTGTTGGCCTATGAGCACCCTGTATCTCTAAAATATCTCTAAAAACAACCTTGGTTTCAGCTTTTGAGTAGTTTATTTATCTTAAGGATATTTTTCAACCAATAAACAAACAATTTGTCAGCTTATCTGAGATATTATTTTTTGTATAAAGGTTTGGTTGGTCTTGTCTTACAGGTCTTGATCTGTATTGTCAGTACTAGCTTAAATATAATAATTGCACACAATTGCAGATTTTATAGAACTGGAACATTACGTGCATCTAAATTAAAAACCAAAGTTTGAAACTACACTCCTGAAATGAGATCCACTGATATTTAGAACATGTAAGCGTAATGTTGCTCCAGAAAAGACACACAAATCACATATCATTAGGAGCTGGTAGGGATTTCAGGGAAAAAACAGTAGAAAGATAGCAGGTGTGCCAACTAATTGCTCGGTTGCATCCATTAGGCTGATGATGTCACAGGCCTAAACAGTTTGTAATATAGGATATTAATAAAACACCCAATGCCTCATGTAAAGAACTTCAGTTCCTTAACCCTTGAAGTAAAAGTAAAAGTAAAACAAATATAACCGTTATACTTCTACTCTCACTACACTCCTAGTACATAGCAGTTCCCGTCATGCTTGCAAATTTATGAAACCTCTACCACATTCTCGTGTCATGCTGCTCACACCAAAACGTGTCTCTTACTCTGTTGTTGTATTCTGTATGCTGTACATGTGTGGCATTCCGTGCTCCTTGGCTACCTATGTAAGGCATGTCCAATAGAGAATTGCCATAGGGTATACTGTGCCTGCTTAAAAGTCTCCCAATGGGATGATGCCTCGGGCCTTCCTCTGCCTCTCAGCAACACTCCTCACTGGACATGCAAGTCATTTCTCATGTACAGTAAAAAATCCACATCTCTACCAAGGCCACAGGATAATGTGGATGAGATGTAGCCCAGGGAAACATACTCATATCACCAGGCGAGGCTGGGTTGAATGAATATGTGGTAAGATGGATGACAGACAGACCACACTGGAATATAATTTTACAGACTAATGGAGTCAGGCTGACACAGGGTGGGATCATGACACTGAGCAGAGTACAGTGGCAGAAGGTCAAACATATAGGTAGCCAGTGATGTATGAATTATATATACAGAGACAGAGGGACAAACTGAATATCAGGCAGACAAATCTACAAAGAAAGAATCCAATCTTGCCAGACAGGTACAGATAGTCAAGCCACGCCTCATTTCTCTTACCATTGGAGCAGCCCTTCAGACGAGCCCCTCTGACTGGTGCCCTCTGTAAGTCGGCCTTGACACGCGCCTTGAGGCCCACATTCTCCTTCTGCATGGCATTAAGAGCATCATTCACTGAGTTCGCTACCTTCACCATGTTGATCTGGCTGTCTGACATCAGCTGCAAAACACACACAGTGGGAGAGAAAAATACACATTAACATTTATAAACAGTGTAATTGTACCAAACCTGTAGCTCAATAACTGCAAGCTGTACTTTGCACTACTTCCCAGTGTGCCAAAGTTTTTTTTTTTACAACCTTTTAGACAGGCAGTGCTTTCCATTTATTTCTCTACAGTATAAAAATTATTAACTATCAGATATGTGAAACTTTCCTAAGGTTAGAATCCTTAACATTTTCATCATATCAAACCCAATTTTTTTGAATATTTATGTCTAGTATTTATTCGATTAGTAACCTCTCTATTTAGTAGTTCACCATTCGTGCACTGGATTCGAATGGTGCTCATGTCAAAGAAAAGGCAAGAGCTCACACAGATATACATTTAAGAACAGCTGGTCTCAGGAAACATATGTGCATCAGTACAAGTATAAAAAAGGCTCCACATTTTCATCACTGCCAACCAACAAGGGCGATTCAAGAGTTGCGTGTCTTCTTCAGTCGTATTTCTGACAGAGAAGCTGTTCAAAGTAAGTTTCTTGCCCCCGGTGATCAATAACTATCATTTCCAACAGAACTCTGGGACTTGTATTAAGAGGTTCTTAGCGTTATCACCAGGAAGGACAGGTGTTACCAAATCAACCAGAACTGAAATCTTAAGGATTATGACTTTAAGATAAGCAATCCAAAACATTTTTTTGCCTTTGATTTTAGTCAGAGTTACATCGCATTCACAGAGTAATGCACCTGCAAAAAGGGTTTTCCATATTTTTACCAAATATGACTGTGTTTTGCTCATATACTTCTGCTTTTATGAAAAGAAGTATCTCATGTATTCACCATGATATAACTATGTTTAACCCTCATCCTATCAAAACATATTCAACATACAAGGACAGTCCTGCGGGACCCCAGGTAGGATTAAGGTTAACTTACTCGTTATCTGAATGCAAGTAAGCTCATTGTAAAGACATTTAGCCTGGAGAGGGGTTGGAACCTCATCTTGTGTTACTGTGTTAATAATATATCTGTATCATAAAAGGAATATTATGTGGATTAATATGTCTGAATTTAATGTAATGTTATTGGCTTGTAGGTGCAGTGCTTTTCAGCAGTGCAACTCAGATGTCAGAGCATCCTTGAACACACCAGCAAAGACAGTTTCTCACAGTAGTCTCAGCTGCATGACCATGTGATGTCAATGTGACTTTGAAAAAATAAGTTGGGAGGGTAAAAAAGTGTGTACATTGTATATATGTATGTTTAGGAATACTTACCTTAATACTTAAACCTTGCTGTAAAGGAGGGTAAGTCTATCTAAAAAAGTTTTGGTATTCTTCGGGAAATGGTGCTAATATATCTCAAACTCAATTTGTAGTTAATGGGCTAAAATATACAGTATATAACCACTGGTACTATACAGTCCTTGAGGGACCTTTAGAAACACACAGGTGCATAGACTACCCTGTGTAGCAAAGACACCACATGGTACCCTATCCCATAATGCACCCTGGCGATTGCTGTGAAACACAAAGAGCCCTGTGGGATGGCTGGTGATGAATGTGTGTGCTAGGACTAGCAGAGAGCAGGGTAACCTCTCTGATCTGCTGTGGTCACTTCCTTACCTGCAGCCCTTTATGTGCTGTTCATTGCAGAAAGGTCGTTTTCACTATCGCCCTAGTTGGCTAACACCTATGCACAGCCAGGTGTTGGGCCCCATATGTATGGGGGGTATGAGGTATGAGAAATGTTCTTGCTCTTCCTTATGCTCACTCCCCTTTTTTCATGCTCCTCCACCCTGTCTCTTTCTCATCCACATAAAAATGAACACTCACAAACACACAAAGACCTGCAGTGCATTAAAGTCATATATGCGGGGGTTCAGAGTCTTCTATCAAAGGTATGTCTGTGCAGCTATATTGAGGTGTTAAAACTGCATTAGACAGAAACCCCAGTGGCCTTTCCCTGGCCTCAATAACTATGCAACACACCTCTGAGGCACAGCAAGCTGCACTGCAATCATATTACATGGGCACTGGGGCTTTAACCCACACATATATAAACAACACATTTATGTACGTGCCCACATGCAAGTACAAAGAAAACCACACACACACACATGCATACACTACAGAAAGGACCCACTGTGCTTAGCAGTTTGGAAGGATGAAGCAAATAAACTAGGTTTTCTGCTTTGTGAGTGTATTATTGTTCAAGAAGACAGTTTTTTGTGTATGTGTGGAGGGGTTTAAGATGTTTTACCATTATTAATAAATACGTGTGTCCTTCCTCATGTGCAAATTTGACATTACTTTCAGTGTTTTCAATAACGTATACTGTTTGTTATTGTGTTTGTGCAAAGGGAGAGACAAAAGCAGAGGAGTATCTGCTGCCTCAATTCTAATCCTTGACTGACACATCAATTAGGATCATGGTGTAATTAGCTCTCATTAGACAGCCTTAACACAGGGAGCCGTGCATTTGTGAGTCAAGCTTTAAGCACATCTGTTGCAGACTCACAAAAGGGGTTGGATACAGGTTTTTTTTTATAAAAAGAGGTCCATCAATCTCAAGATGATCAAAATCAAGTTTGGTTGTTACTTAAATCCTATTCTGGCTTGATGGTTGTCTGATGTAACTGTATTAAAAATGATTTTGGTAAAACACACAACAAAGATGTGCTTTTGTTGGCCTTAATCAGACGTTCAATAAGGTATAGACATGTTCCCCCGTGGAGTAGAGTCACAGAGCAGAGAGGAGTTGAAAGGCCTGGAGCTGGCAAGTTAAAAAAAGTCATTCAGTCACCATATGCCTAATATGACATCTTCACCTCACAGACAGCGGCTGTCCAGCCAAATAGAACCTGAAGAAGTAAATGGAACAAGTGAGAGGTGCCATCAAAAAGTCGCCCTCTCTTTACTCTTGACTGGTGTAGCCCTTGCAAGTTGAAAATAATTCACACCCTAAAGCACATTTGTACTATTCCATGACTTCACTTATAGATCCAAGGGGTATAGATCCAATAGGTTTAAAATATAATGAGAAAAACTTCAAACTACTTTGCTAGACCCCTATACCAATGCTACCAGTGCTTTGAGATGGCTGGTACATATACACTATGACGCTTTGTCAACATTTATGCATTCTTGTTTCTTCAAAAAGAACCCTTTACTCCACTGAAAGACTACCGAGGATGTTATTGGAATTTTTTGTCTTTCAGTCACAATCCGCATATAGTTAAATTCCTTTTCCTGTTTGCCTCAGAGGCATCATACTATAGCTTAAACATTAAGTCAATTAATCAATTAGGCCATCAAAAGAACTGATTTAATGTGTCCTTTTAAAGCAAAATGATCTTGTTCCAGCTCTGTTTTATATCATTGTAAATTCAGACATCTTTGAGTTTTCAACTGGACAAAACTACCAAATACTTCATCTTGGGAATAGTAATGGCCATTTTTTCACAATTTTCCTAAACTAAACAATTAATCGAGAAAATAAGCAGCAGATTAATCGATAATAAGAAATATGAGAAAATAATCTTTTCTTGCAGCCCTACATTCCATAAGAGCACAAGTTCCAGAAATAAATCCTGCCAGATGCTGAGTTGGAGAAAAATAAATTCACGAAATTGATATCTGATGTCCACAGGGTACAGTTAAGCCGACTGTTAACCTCATCCTTTGTTATTGTATTGCACTTTGCCAGCCATGTAGCTCCCAGCCACCTCTCTGCTGACATCCACACATCCTGCAAAACTCCCCTTCTTTTTTCATCTTTTGACAGCCGTGATGCAGATGCACATCTTCATTTGACTCTACCGCTTCCTCAAGAATATCTAGGTGGTTAATTGTTTTTCCTTTGTGTTGTTTCTCTGAAGCTACAGTTCAATGGTCTTTTTCAAAGAAACACGACCATTTTGAACTAAAAATCCATTCTGGATTAAGAGGATAAAGACTCCTCAAATTCTCCATTTAATTTAATACAATTCCAGCTGTACTTCAATTAGTTAGTTAGTCCAACCTCTGCCTTGACAGAGTTCCTCGACATAAGGGGCCTCTGAAGCAAAGAAACAATGAATAAATGATTAACCCCCGATGATGGACAGAATCTTCACACATAAAGGGAATGTTTTTTTATAGCAAATCAGATTCATATCATACAGAGGGTCTCTGATCTTTGATCAGGCTTTTGATTTTGTGCATGTGTGGTTTAGTGTGGAGGTTGGGGGCAAAGAGTCCAGCTGTGAAATTAAATTATTATTAATGAAATACAGTGGTGGGAATGCCCTTTAATGTTTATGTGCACATGTGTGCACTTGAGCCATAGTCCCTCATCAACATGGATTTCAGTTTTGTCTTTTCATTTCACAGTTTTGACATGTATGCAACTGTGCCACCTCATAATTTTTCCAGGATATTATTATAATAAATATATTATTACTGTCTTGTAGTTTTGATTTTTATTTTGCAGTGAAACATTGGTAAGCTCTGAAAGATATAGTTCATGTTGTATGCAAATGGCTTATTGCATTTTTCTGTAATTAGAAGATAACATGTTTAGGCTATTTTTAAGCACCTTTGTAGCACCTAAAAATTGCTGTATTCACTATTCACACATTTTCATTATTCAGTATTGTTCTAATGGTTTGAACCCTCCAACACACTGATATTCTTTATTCTTCTGAATTGGTGAGCTGTATCTTTGAAGTTCTGCATTTGCTTAATTGAATTAGGTTTCCTTGTTTAATGTGACTTTTATCATTATTCACTCTTATTGAGGTTTTGAAGTTACTTGTATCCCATCCCTAGCTGAAATGCTGCAACAACTTACTTTTCCAAGTCCTCAAAGGACTTTGTGTTGAGCAGAATGAACATCGTGATGCAATATGGTTTTCTATTCTACAGCAGCAGAGGTTCACGCCTAGATCCTTAGCAGAGGTTGTGGGTGTCACTTGCCCAAAACATTAATATTCCACAGGCACATAATTCAGTTTAAACTGTGACCTGTGGTTCAAGGAAATCAGTATGTCATGCTCTTCCTCGCAGCCTTTACCTCCTTGCAGTCTTTTTGCAGTTAGACATTGTGGAAAACTGAATGTCAAGTCAGTTGAACTACTTTTTATGTCAGTTGGACTTCTGCTATGGAGAATCTAGCCCTTCCATTTTAAGTGCAGGTCATAAAACTTCCATGCTTACCCCAGCTAGTAGGCTTTATACATGGTTGCCTACATTGATAATGAACAGGTCTGCCAGTGCTGGTCAGAGCTAAAAAATACATTAACAACTTTTAATGCAATTCATACCACTGACGGAAGATCAAAAGCCCATGAGAAAGATCAATGGAGACAGCAACCTGAGAGCCACCGATAAAACTGTAACACCACAGTAATGTGAGGATGTTAGACTGGAAGTACTTTGGATTTTGTGTTGAAAATTGTGCTTGAATTAACATAAACTATTACCCTGAGCTCATGCTCCTAGAGCAACACAGTTCTATTACTGTCAGCAAAGCAAATAGCACACACACATTCTAATGTCTCATAGACATACAACTATACCAATAAGACAAGGAACATGTGAAGGTTTATTGCTTTGTAAGGTGGTGGCAGAACAATAATGTCTGTGTTTTTGTTTTAGTTACCTGGAGTTGGTTTGATTGGTTTGGCTTTGTGTGTGTATCTGTGTGGGTGGTAATTCCTTCATTGGAAAAAGTGTTGCTTTTATTTAACACAGCTACATTTCAAATGGAAATGGCTTTTCTGACTATATCAATCATGACAGAAACATTACACAGAGACAACATTAATGAAGGTACTAAATGACATCTGCTGATTCCGGAAAAAAAAAGTATCTTTTACATCTGGTATATCTGGTACAGTCCTCGCTCAGTTCAGGTTGCATCGAAATCATGGGCTATGCTGTTGCCATTGGCATTTATGAATCTGAGGAGATCAAACCATGGGGATCCACAACATGGACTCAAGAAAAGAGAAATTGACAATGTATCAAGTAAATTGGATTCAGAGTTAAGGATGGATGTGGAAAAAAAAGAGTTTCGAGCAAACACTAGCAACATGCTGCACCTTGTCCATCACTCTGAAACCTAACCATCCGTTAAATGTATTGCTATATTCCTATATTATACTGGACTTTTCCATCAGAGTGATTCATCTGAATGCAAATGTGTGTGCTTAAGTGTACCTTTCCATTTGAGCCTGCAAGCAGTCACTGTGAAAAATGAATATGTCATTTTGTGAAAAATCAAAACACATTGGTCCTAAACCCACTGCAATCAGATTCTCTTGCTTATCTCCTTTGGGGGCATTTTGAAGGTTTTCTCTATATGGCAGAGCGAAACTGTTCTTCAGGGGGCTGTGGTGCACACTGAGCCATTACTAACACTGGCACAGTCAGCTCTGTGTCATCGTATAAATCAGAAGTCCTGGCCACAGGTGGCCCATAGATCACAGAGTCACACCATGGTGTCAGGCAGCAACAGCGGATGTGCACACCACATGCCTTGCCTCCAAAGAGGAAATCAATCACCTGCAGTGTCTGGGCTGCCAGCACCACCTCCACTTAGCCTCAGTGCCCACTGCACCATGCCACCTATACACCACATTAACACCAGTAAAATGGACAGTCCCTCTTTCTGCTTCCACTGAGCTACCAATCAGCACCCATGAGTTCTTAGCCCACAGAGGCAGAGCATACCAATCCAGTGAGCCTTTGAGTGAACTCTAAACAAAGTTGAACCCTGAGCTAAAGAGGTATGGCATTACGAAAATATGAGCAGAAGTGGAATGCATTCTGTTGTTTGAGCTGTATGGCTGGCAGCTATGAAATCTTTTTAATACAGAAAAGAGAGACTGATCCTGATGGGCCAAAATTAAAAGAGCATGCAGTGTGATGATTTTCCACACACATTTAGGAAATGTATTCTCAATAAATCAATATGGACAGTGTGAAACTAAAGGGGGTCTAATTATATTTTTGCCCACTGTGGAGTCTATCTTACACATCTAGGGAAACATTATGCTATCTTATTGAATTAATGTGCAAGTTGTTCTGTTTCTTAACATGATGGGCATTTCTTCCCCTGTGACCTCATCTTCAAACACCAGACTGAATAAGTTATACTCAGTGGAACATGAACCCTATTTGCACTTTAATCTAGATGTTACTGGGCTTGTAACTGTCTAAAAAGAAATGGTGGTGTTGGCATTTGATTAGTGAATGATGGTGTCTTGATTTTGCAGTCAGGAAAAGGAAGGGACAAAGTAAGACCAACTGACAGAAAACCCTCTAGTCCAATGAGCTGTCACACATCTTGAGGTGGTTTCACAATCAATACATATTGATAGGTGTTTCACAATCCAGTACTCAAACGCCTCTGTACAGTACTTAGAGTCATGACTTCAGCAGTAAGTCTTGCACACTGGATTCAGTTAATCTGTTTTCACTGCTCAACCAATCATCCTTATGTACAGCCATAAAAAAACAAAGAAACTAATTCACAAAAAACCCTTTTGCATTGTTTTTCTTCACAAAATACGTTTTATGCTAATTCTAATCAAACCATTCAATCCCCCCCTCTGCCCTGTATGAAAGCACATACATTTGTCATGCTTCTCTGATCATTTATTCAGGTTTTTCCTTTAATTTGTCACCCATCTGTAGGTTTACAGTGTTTAACTACTTTTGAAATAAGAATAAAATGAATACCTTGTTAGACAGTTGTAATTCATGATAATAATTTATGATGCATTTACATGCTATTACATGTTAATCATTTCTTTTTTTTTACAAACTGTAAGGATATACAGCTGGAATGTCATTTTCAATGTCTTTTTTGTGTTATAGTGTGCCTCAGTTTCCACTCTGACCTGGGTGGTGTATTTTCTATGACCTTACAATTCCATTGGGTGTCCACTATGTCTCTGTTTGTGTGTGTGTGTGTGTGTGAGAGAGTGTGTCTATGTGTCTGTTTCCCACCTGTATGAGGCGTCCCTGCTCCGTCTGCAGTGTGTTAAGGTCTTGCCCCAGGCTGCCTTGCCCCCTGCGTAAGGATTCATAGTCCATTTTCAGCTGCCCCGCATGGGCTGACAGCTTGGCCACCTCCTCAGCCAGACTGACAAGAAGAGCCCGATCCTGGCCTTTCACTGACTTCAGGTCAGAGTCGTGGTCAGTTAGTGAGTGGAGCAGTGATGTCTGTACACCCTCCAGGCGCAAAAAGTTACTGTTGTAGTCAGGACAGTTGGGGTCGATGAAGATGTTGACGCGAGAGCCATCGCCTCTCTCAACAGTGACCAAGGCATTGGCTTCATCCTGATTGGTAGAGATGTGGGGTAGGCCATCAGACATGGGTGGGGCCTGGTAGTGATTCATAAAAAGGATGGTGCCAGTTACAGTGACAGCTAGCAATACAGCCACGAAGAGCAGGATAGTGCAAAGCAGGTAGCTGCAGCTCATCCTCTGTAGGTAGGAAGGAGAGAGGGGAAGGGGGAAATAAGGAAGAAAGGGAGGAAGGAAGATAAAAAAGTAGGTGTTACATCACAGTTGCTAGAACACCACAAAACTACAGCAAAACACCTGCCTTATTCAAAAAGAAATGACTTTCATCCATCACTGGGGATATTGTGAATGCCAGATGCTCTGTACTCAGCGATGTAACCATATTCCCATTTGTCAAAATGTAGTTTTGAATGATTTATGTAGTAACATAATGTAGATTTTTTCAACTGCCAGTCCTCTTGAAGATCAACATTCTCTGAAATTAAGGAAAACCCGGACTATTTCTCTCCAAACACTAAGTAGGGTGATGATTGACAAATAACACTGAGCCCACTTGAGTCCAGCTCAAGATGTCACACCCAGGAAGCAGAACAGTATATGGAAACACAGTTTTGGTATCCTGATCTTAAGACTTCCTTTCATACTCACACAGTCATATTCTGTATATAAGTATACCCCATACTCATATCCCTATCCATGTAAGATATTAAGATAAGGTCCCCTTCTGTTAACAACCATGTAAGAGCCATGAGAATACCAAGATACTAATAGTAGTACACATTGCCATGCATATACAGTATATCCATTAATCTGACTGGTGGTGGTGCAGTAGAGGGGAGGATGCTAGGCTGAGACACTTCTGGGAAACACATGGTCAAGGCACCAATGTTCTGTCTTTCCATTTCTGAGACAGGAAGGAAAACAATAAAAACCAGAAACAACTGTAGCCAGGAAGAGAAAGTAAGACAAAAGTGACTCACATAGCCAATAGAATGTAAATGAATGAACAGAGAGTAGGATCCTCTTAGAGGAAAAAGGCAGACCTCTACCAGTAGCATAGTCTCCATTAACTGACTATAAAAGGCCTGTATGTTGGCCCTTTATGATCCTGCTTTATTCTTTCCACTCAGGTCAGGAGAACTAGCAATGGATGGGAGAGAGTAAGCCACCTATGCATGATTAAAAATGCCTAGCTCCCCCATATCTTCCTCCAAATGAATCAGCAACTGATCTCTTACTGATTTTTTTTTCTACACTGGAGGATGTTCTATCTGTGAGAATATGTGGGCAGGTGTGTGTGAAAGTGTGTGTTGTGGTCTGTTTGTATGTATGTGGAAGTGTGACTGAGTGCAAGCTCATTAATATGTAAATTGGCTGCACAAGCACAGCGAGACACACTAATAGACAGCTAATGGTCTGCTTTACGAGAGAGGTTTATGGTTTCTTTGATGTGAAGAAAATCAATTGTGTTGTCCAGGAAATACTCCTATCCACTGTGTTTACCCACAGTCTTTGAGTAGAAGAAATAAAAACTCCCCCGACAACTTGTCCATGTGGGGGCCGTGGGCTCTGTGTACAACAAGTGTGCATACAACCTGCAACCCACATAGTGTTGGTCTGTTGACACAAAACAGAACCTCTTTGATGTCTAAGAATGATTTCTCACATGGGCCTCAATTGTAGTCCACTTTTGTCCAATCATGAGACCAAGTATATGCACACAAAAGGAGTTCATGCGGGCCTGAGGATGGTTTTCTAGCATGGGCCCCATTTGTACCCCCATGGCTTCATTCACAAGCCACATGTGCAGATATTTGGAGCTTGGAGCCATTGGACAACTATTGTTGGGCCTGGTGATTCCCTGCTGGATGCCTATGTTTCTTGGCTTCACAAAAAAAAAACATTTTTGTGGTTGTGACAAGAAAACCAACATGGACTAAGTGAAAAAGACAACAAATACATAAGCTTTAAATGTATCTGGGTAACATCTGAAAAATCAAGCTGTTTGACCTATGTTCACAAAAGCAAAAATAATACATTATTCTTTTATGCTTGAGAAGAACAAAACCACTTTTGAGAGAGTGATTGTAAAATTGCTACTTTCATTACATATTGCATTTTGTTGATTTTTTTTATTTTTCCTGAAATATAAAAAGCCTTTTGGTAGAATCAATTAAGTAAATTGAATTAAATTTATGTTTTAATGATTATTGTTTTTCTGCAGGAGCCAACTTTACTGTGGCCACTGTTTTCTGCACACCGCTGACATATATGGAAGTACTGTCACTGCAAACTGCCCCTAGGTTCTATTTGTCCAAATGGGTTAGGAGCTAAGGTATGTATACATGAATGCACACATACACACACACACACACACACACACACACACACACATAAAACATACATACTTCACACAGAAAACACAATATACAATAGCCTCACTTTATTTTCTGATGCATATGCACATGCATGCACACATACACACATAATCTGCACACAATTCTTTCTACCAGATACTTCCAACTGACAGGAAAGCACATGCATACATTGCACATGAAAAAAATGGAGCAGAAAGCTTTGTCAGAACGTTACCACTTCTTAGTTTTTTTCCCACCCAAATACATCATCACAGAAAAGAGCTCCGGGGGAGTATTGCCACACGTAACATTTTTTTTTGTCTCAACATGTAGACCCTGACTGCACTATGAAATCTTTCTTTGCATGTCAAAGAGTTTTTTTTGTTCTTTTTTCTCCCTGTGTGTTAGAGTGCAGGTGCAACTGAGTGATTGTGACTGTGACTAGGGTTGGCTGTGTGTGTGTGTGTGTATGTGTGTGTGTGTGGCAGGATGTCTGTGCTGTACATAATGTATATAATGCTCTCACACTGCAGAATGGCTGCAATGTAACATTAGAACAGTTTCACTGAGCTCTATCGCCAGCGGGCCAAGACATCAGTGGAAGCCATCATTGGCACTGCACTAAATATTCATTGCTAGCATACTGATTGTTAACTTAACGTGGAGGAGATATATGGCCCCCGTTATGCTGACAGTGAGACACACACGGAGCTGACAGACATCTATACACTGAAAAATACATGTACAGGAGCAGTGCAATTTTGTAACAAAATTTTCGGAGATAAATTGTGACAGGCACATAATGAGTTCCCCAGATGTTAACCTTTTAAGCCATGAAGTAGTTTCTGATAGATTAAGGTACAGTTTGAGATTTGTACCAATAATAGTTCAGCCTGAACTAAAGGTAACAAAAGTCAGTTGAGGTAGCGTATTGATCATGGCACCTGGGTGGCGCAGGAGAAAAAGCATGTTCCTAATGCTTATACTGTTGGTTTTAGGTACATTTTTCTCTCTTGGGATACAAAATTGTACTTGTCAAGGGAGAACTGACTTTCAAGAAAAGGTACCATAATGCAACTGGCCCAGCGACAAGCTGGGTACAATTCTTTTCTATTTTTTTCTGAGGTCAGACTGACATGAATTGAAGGAAGAAAAAGTCAGCATGACAGTGAGGAGTGGAGGTTTAGCTGTTGCCTCATTTGGTCCATACAATTAAAACACAACTGCAACTTGATTCATGTCCTGACTGAATAGACAATCTCTCAACTCAACTCAAGAGTCGTAGTAGGGTAATGACACTGCAAGCAGCCTCTTAACATTTTTTTTTGTAAATGAGTCTCTCAATCTCTCAGTAGGAGCCCACTCTGTAATTAGTAGCTGACTTTCAGATCCTCTCGTGTCCCTACTCATGCCCCACCACAGGATTTGAAAGGACGGCAGGGGAATTCTGATGGAAACATAGAAAATGAGAGGCAGAGAATGAGAAAATTCCTCTTTATGAAAATGATGTTGTCCTCCCACGCAGAAGCATTAGCAGACAGTTCTTGGACGAGAGGCTTTGTCTGCTCATCAGATAAGCAGGAAACCAACAAGAGTCTTGCAAGTTCTCTCTCTCTTACTCACTTTCTTCTTCTTAAACACAAATATACACACATATATGCTGACACAGATGTATACACAGGAAGAATTTCACGTTGATGCTACCCAACTACTATCCCAACATCTCAAAATGCTTAATTGGCACACATATACATAGCAAATCTAATGCACAAACTCACAGTTTTAAAAAGAGGGATTTTCACCTGCTCCTCTACAATTTCATTCACCTGCAGCTTGAATAACACTTTCAAATCAGTATTCAATGCATAGCTTCTTCCCAAATTCTGCCACGCTATTGAGATCCTTTTCCTGGTGCAGCCATGATCACTGTGCTCAATTCAGAGAATCTGCAGGGCCTAATCCCATCTAATTCTTGTGTGCTTGGGTACTAGAGCTGAGGTTGTGCCATCTCTGCAGATCGGTGGCAAAATGTGACGTGTAATATGCAGTAATCCTTCATACTGCCATCACCACAGCAGTGAGAAAGCGGATTGTGATTGTCATTGATATCTAATCCCCTCCACAGGTGAGTAAGTCACTATTCATAGTGTGTCCCTGCTCTTATTTACTGGAAGGAAAGGAGTGGAATTCTGTCTTGTTCAGCATTTAGAGTTTGCAGTTTGACAGTAGTTTCAGGAAAAACTAATTCAAACTCTGATGTAGAGCTGAAACATTTCAGTTGATTAATCCATTAGATGATCGACAGAAAATTAATAAGCAACAATTTGTATAATAGTTTAATTGTTTTAGTAATTTTTCGGGAAAAATCACTCGTTCCAGCTTCTTAAATGTGAATATTTTTGCTCATTTTCTCTGTCTTCTATTATAGTAAATTAAATATTTTTGGGTTTTGGATTGTCAGTCAGACCAAACTGCAAAATGAATAAATGATAAACAGTATGACACATTAATTACAATTAGGCCTCTAATGTAGATATAATGAATTATGCAAGGTTGATATAATCCACGAAACAAAACCGTGTGTTGGTGTGTGCGTGCATGCCTATTGCATGCAGTACGTTGTGGTGACAGGGCCTTACCTTGGCCGGGGTCTCCCTGGCAGTTTCTGAGTCTGACCAGCGATGTTTGAGCTGGGAGGAGCTGGGCACACACTCACAGAACGTCTGCATGGGACAAACAGACAGGACCACCAGTGTTGGCGTTTGTTCAAGTCACATGTGCAATGAAGCATGCAAGCACATGCGCACAAACACACACACACGCATGCAGCACAAATACAGACAGAGAGGCAAAGGTTTTGGGTCTGTACTTAAATAACTGAAATATCAAAGCACTGGACACAGCACATTTTCTAAGCCAAACTCTCAAATCTCATATAAAATCATTGTTAAGAGATTAATGGTGTTGGTGCTGATAAACTACATCCACCTACACACATAACTGCACACTGACATAGACAGATCTGAACAGGCATCTGTACATCTCAAAGGTATCTCTGAATTCAATAGTTTATGACAAGCTCAATGCATCTTCCATAAGATGGCTTTGCAGAATTCTCAGTACACAGACTTTCCTCCTACTCCAAATATAAAAAAGAAAAAACAAAACAAATGAATACGAGCATTGCATTGAATGTTGGTGCTTGTATACAATATCTGAGCGTTATGTGCTTTAGTATATGTGACTCTTTGTGCTTGTATGTGAAATTGTTTGGGAGTAGTTCTAGCTGCTACACAGATAAAAGCGTAGTAATTATGAAAGTGGAGGCTTTCTAACTGCTCCAGGAGAGCGCGTCGTTCTGTGACCTTAAACACTACTGCTCCCACTGTGGAATTGCTCAATTAGCCCGGGACAACAACACCAACACAAAAGCACACACGTGGGCACACATGCACACACAACTGCCTACTTAAGAACGGATGCTGCAAGCATTAGCAATTAATTTATCAGAATGTGCTCTTTATCCGAGCATGGTGTCATACTGTAAGCCTGTGTGTATATTAATGTAGGTGAGGCAAAAAATGCTATTTACATTTGTTATGACACTGTATGTTTTAATACCATCAGCAAAAGTGACTTTACCTGCTTTAATGAATGTTTAACCATTAGTGGGCAGAAATGCAGCAACACAAGCTCACTTTGGTGGAAACTAACCAAATGTTATGGCTAACATTTTAACAAACAATTGCCTACACTCAAATCCAGTTTACAAAGAGCAACTTTAGCATTCATTTGAATATGTATATATGTCTACCTGATGAAATATGAGTTTAATATTAACTCTCCTTTTACCTCTGTTTTGGTCTCTAACAGAGCTTGAGGAAAAAGATATCAGCTGCTAATTGGTCAGCTTCCTTTACCCTATTGTCCACATTTGTCTGACTGCCATTTGTTGCTGGCAGGTAGTATAAAATAAGTTAAACGAGCTTTTTTTATGTGGAAACAGCTGCCTATGGGGGGCTAATGAGACCAGCTCAGAGGCAGCCACACAGTAACTGCGTGGGCCTAAAAAAAAAAAAAAAACGTGTTTATAGATGCTTTAAAGCTACTTGGAGCTGTAGTTTTGGGTGATAATTCTCTCTGATTTCAGCGGGTATGAGCGAATGCTTTCACACTGGAGTCATTTGATTCAGTGTTAATATCCAAAATATTGCAGGTATAAAAATATTGCGGGCACATTTGTGGGTATGTGTGTGTATGGGCCAGGCAAGAAGTGGCTGTCTTTGTGTAGGTTTTGTCAGTTGAGTGAATTGCTTGTATGCAGCTCACACAGTCATTGTTATGATGGCTGACCAATAGTTCACCCCTTTGCTCTAAGCATTCTCTTCCAATGTATAAGACAGCAAGAGAGGGGGAAAAAAGAAGGCAGCAAGGGAGAAAAAAGTAAAGGGGGGCGGGGGGAGAAAGTGATGGAGAGAGATTTGGGAGAGGTGTGTTGAATTCTAATGAGCAGCCTTAGGGTCAGCGATAGAAATCTATGTCTGTTCTGCCTAAAACATTGCAGCTGTCTGCAGTACACAGAGGAGCTACAGAGCTACCATTACTAAATAAACACAGACTCCACAGTGATGTGGCTAAACAAACTAACAAGTCAGCTACACAGTAAAGTAAACTGGAATGAATTTGTATGTCGAAAAAACCCCACTAACAGAAATAGGTACGTGCATTTCATGCTGTTGCACAAGTTCACAGGTGTGCGTGCACACCAGTACAGATATGGACACAAAGGTCTACTCCTGCTTTGTTGCAAGCAAGCCAAGAGATAGAAAAACATACACACACCCTCCCATATGAACACATGCACACGGAACAAAGGTTGTGTGTTACAGCTGCAACCCACTCAGATCCCTGACACAGTCTTCCCATTACACAGAGCAGCACGTATCAGAGCTTTAGTTTGTTCATCCCTGTGCCTGCTAATGCTCACATTGGGGTTCTTTGCTGCCTGTGCACACAAACATACACGCACACACTCACAGTGACATGCCAATATCTGTGGGGCTTCTTGCTGGCAGTGGTCCCGGTGTGGGCATGACTGCTTGGCAGTGTTTGTCTAGTCCTAATCTGACTCCACAAGCTCCACCAGCGGAGAGGATTTACACTTAATAGAATATTTGGGCTTTTTATTGGTTGGACCTTACACGCAGAATCCTATCTGATGAGCCACGTCTTAGAAGACAGGAAGGGCTCAGACTTATCCTGGGTATGACTGGGTGTGTACGTGCCGTTTTTTTGAATGAGTGTACCTACGTGTTTGCCTGAGTGCATGCGAGGATATAAGTCCTCAAGGCAAGAATCCCAGCACTATCTAAGAATATTTGGATTGTTTGAATGTGTTGTTCCTGGAATATATTTCCTCACTTTGCTGAATACCTTTATGTGTGTGTGTGACAGGGACTTTAGCAAGGTGTGTTTGAACCTACAGCTTACTAAGCCGATGGAGTGGAAGAGGCTTTGCATATATTCACTTGTGGGCTTACTGATCATTTAACAGGACTTGCAGACTGCTAAATGAGGGAACTAAGGCTGTCAGAATGATGGAAAAATGAGTAAAAAAAGGGGGAGCAGATAGCAGAATATACAGCAAATGGACATTGTGTCATATTGTGAAGTGTTACAAATAAGAAATTATCTTGTTAAGTGTGTGTCACCAGTAGACATTTCTATGTCTAAATGCCAAGAAGGGTTAACACTGAATGAATGAATTAATGAATGGATGGATGAATAGTGCTGTGACAGCTGTCCTGATGGAATAAATGCTGAGACTTTACCGCTTACCATTAGAAATTAAGAAGCCATTCAGATAGAAGATGCATGGACATCTCACAAGTCACTGGAGGCTTTATCTTACATTGTGTTGTAATTACTCAACACAGACATGTTGATGACTTATTTTCTGAACCCATGAGGTGCCTTCTATTAAAAAACAAAAATAAACGAAATCTTTGCTTGTTCTCCTGAAAAATCCAGTTTGAAATGCATTCACATTAGACAGTACTTGGAGAACTTCAAACAAGACTAAAAAGCAAATAAAGATGGGCCTTTTTGGAAGTGGGTGTTAATGCAAATGTTTGAATTTCATAATTAAAATCTTTTTTGGGGGGGCTTTTTCTCTGGTACATTATTCATGAACTAATGAACCTCAATATAATGACTCCTAAGCTACTCTAATAAATCCTAAACTAATGACGCATCCCCAATAAAAAGTCAGTTCCTGCTTGTAAGTTGACTCTGATGATGTGCTTGAGGGGACTAAAAATAGTAACTTATATAAGCTGTACGTAATCAGAAAGTAATTTTGAGTAATTGGTCATGTGCTATTTAGCAGGTGATAGTTAATTTTGAATGGTTCATTGACGAGATGGTCAGTATGCCGATTCACAGATATTCATAAACGAAATCGAGAAACTCATTAGATATTGCATCATTAACATAATACTGTTATCAAGTAACTTGTCATTATCTACAATAGTCCTTAACTCAGAGTTATTTAATAGCTACTTATTTAGCTATTTATTGATTAGCAGTTAGTCCCTAATGTGTTTCTTACTTGATAATTACTCAATATTTTGTGTAATTTATTAGTTACACTTTACAGTTATATTTTAAGTTTCTGTTGCACCATTTTGTACATTTTTTATATACAGAACTTGGGTTTGTGCCTCAAACTCATACTAGTGGTCACTGTTCTTGTTGTTTAAACAACAACACAAACACACCACACAAGAACAGTATGCCAGGGGTTACAGACACGAAAATATAAATAGATTTTGAGCATCAATCAGTCCGTCAATCATTTTTTTCGAATTAATCAATCAGCTGTCTGGTCCACTAAATGCTGACAAGACATTCCAACCACTGACATAGCAGACCCAGTGGTCCCTGTTAACATTTCTGTCGTTTACCCATGATCACAACATTTCTTCAGCCTTTACCAAAAAACAAAAAAACAAAACAAAAACAAAAACAAAACAAAACATATTAATGTAACTTGCATCAGATGTGTTTTTTCTGCATAATACACTCATAATACAGACATTAAGGACCACGCAGTTTGAAAAAAAATAGTATTATAACCATCACCACCAAATGATATAAGCAAATAAAAAAGTGGCAAACAGAAGCTTGTTGCATGGACTGCTGAATATGATGAGAGCAGTGTTTACTTTGCCAGCATCTATATTCTGTTCTGCAGACCACAGAGATTTGGGTCTGGTTATTTTAGAGGACACTGCCATTGTGGATGTGACAAGCAGTATAGCAGCTCTTACAGACTTCAAAGGGACTATTCCCTCTACAGCTGATGGCTGATCACAGTGGTGGACACTTTTTTTGGACTACTTGGCCACTGGCACATAAATAATGGTAATACAGGGTACCATGAGGGACATTGCTGTGATTTTGTAACAAAAATACATAAGTACATGAGGTAATATGAGACATCCAATAATGGCAGTTTAATCACTATTCTATTTTCCATGCCTTCTGTCTAAATTCTATTTATGCTTTCAGTTGCTTTTTCGTTATATATAGTGAATAATTATGGAGCTTTCCTCATGTTTCTGTGAGGCTGTTTTGTCAGTTTCTACATTTAGAGGATTTTTTCTCCTTTGCTGATTGGTTGCATCTGCTCAGAGATTAGGTATTTAAGAGGTGTAAACAA